TGTAAATACAATACAAATTAAACAAAGGTTTATAATAATTATCGTTTTGATCCATACATTAGTAATGTCTGACTGGACTTCGTGCCTCTTTGTGTTCAATAAATTGGGCCCTGAGGTCAAAAAGGTTGAGATTCCCTGCTTTAACTATTAAAATAATGTTTGTCCTCTGACCCAGCATGCTCCCTGAGTCTCCTCCTGACTCCAACTCTGAGGCCTGCTCCCCTCCACAGATACCAGGTACCTCTGACCCAGAACCAAACCAGCTTTCATTGTTTTTATTCCAGGAACAAACATTAAGACTCTATTTTTCAGATTTTGGCTGTGAGCGTGGCTGCAGGTCCACCCAGCCCAAGGTCTTTCAACCAGCAACCAGATCTGCATCGTGTCACTTCAGGGATCAAGGCTCCGCCCCTTCGTCTTCAAACCCGCCACCTCGAGCTTTTTCCTGTCGTTTTAAAGACGGAGGCTCCGCCCCCTCGTTAGACCCTCTGCCTCACCAACGGCTTCACAACCTGGGCCTCACAAACACTTTCATCAAGTCTGGGAGTCCACCTGCCCCGCTAGTCCCACCTGTTCGCCTTCATCAGGATGCACACCTCTCAGCTGAGCACTATTTGAATCCAGAGAGCTGCTTGAAGGGTTACACCCCGCCCACACCTCCCTCTCCGTCATTACCCCCCTCCAGCACCTACGCCTCATCCATTACTGGTCCAGTCCTGGTCCCAAATGTCCTGCCAGCTTCAGACCGTCTGCTGGGCTCCACCTGCACAGTACACACCTGGTGAGGAGACACCTCTGTTAAAATATGGTGCAGGATGAGGGCCAAAATTAAGACTATTGCACAACCAGAGGGTGCTACATCCTAAGCTATCCATGCTAGTCACTAGCCTCTCCGATCTAACTCCAGCTTGTCCATGCTAGTCGTTAGCCTCTCTCCGATGCTAACTCCAGCTTGTCTATGCTAGTCGTTAGTCTCTCTGATGCTAACTCCAGCTTGTCCATGCTAGTCGTTAGCCTCTCCAATGCTAACTCCATCTTGTCCATGCTAGTCGTTAGCCTCTCCGATGCTAACTCCATCTTGTCCATGCTAGTCGTTAGCCTCTCCAATACTAACTCCAGCTTGTCCTTGCTAGTCGTTAGCCTCTCCAATGCTAACTCCAGCTTGTCCATGCTAGTCGTTAGCCTCTCCAATGCTAACTCCAGCTTGTCCATGCTAATTGTTAGCCTCTCCAATGCTAACTCCAGCTTCCGACGCTAACTCCAGCTTGTCCATGCTAGTCGTTAGCCTCTCCAACGCTAACTCCAGCTTGTCCATGCTAGTCGTTAGCCTTTCCAATGCTAACTCCAGCTTGTCCATGCTAGTCACTAGCCTCTCCGATGCTAACTCCAGCTTGTCCATGCTAGTCATTAGCCTCTCCAATGCTAACTCCAGCTTGTCCATGCTAGTCGTTAGCCTCTCCGATGCTAACTCCAGCTTGTCCATGCTAGTCGTTAGCCTCTCCGATGCTAACTCCATCTTGTCCATGCTAGTCACTAGCCTCTCTAATGCTAACTCCATCTTGTCCATGCTAGTCACTAGCCTCTCTAATGCTAACTCCAT